CTAGCTTTGGTTTTTTCTTCTTCAGTCAAAAGCACTTGATATCTATATAATAAAAATTAAAAATATCATTAAAAAAATCTTATTATATTTATGTATAGATAGAAAAATATATAAAGTGAAATAAAATTATTAATTAAAATAAATAAAATTATTGATTAAATTTATATAAGATATAATATTTTTAAAACATACCTTAAATCTAGATATATGCATGACAGAAAGACATTGTTGTTTAAAAGTTGCTTCTCTCTAAAATTCATAGCATCAATTCTTGAACCAGCAAAGGGTGAAGTAAAAATGGAAATTTCTAATTTAGCTTTCAGCCATATGCCATAAAGATCCCCTAAAGTTAGCTACTCAAGTTGTAAGTTCTTGGTAGCTACTTCATTGGTTTTAGTATATTTACCAACCCTATAATTGCTTCCCATTCCAGAGTTGTAAAACAAAGTTCACTCACTATATGATACTGATAACTCCTCACAAATATCTTTTAATTCATTCAATCTCTCTAGCATGTAAAAGGTTGATAACCATCTGTGACAATCCAATATAGGTCTTTTTAAGTTTAATTTTTTAGTATAATTGATATCGATTTTGTCCTTAGCTTCTTGCAGGCAGTACGAGCTTTAATAATAATATTAGAAATGGAGCAATTTTTTAATGCATGAGCTACCACAAGTTGTAAGGTATGAGAAGCACATCTTATATTTAATATCATATTGAGAATCATTAAGATTGCTTGCTAATTCATCAGGTACATTTGTGAAACTAGTATAAAAATCATAATTATCTATATTTTGTATTTGTTCTTCTTCATCATCTTCAGACAATTCATTGTCATCATCACTATCCTCTATAAATAATATTATCATCTTAATTAGATTTGCCCCATTGTCCGTTGTTATAGTGTAGTGATGTTTTTATTTCATAATCATTTAATACTTTTATTAAAAGGAGTTTTAAATTTTCTGCAGTGGGCCGTTCAAAAATTTCTTTCATTGCCAGTGTTCTCAGAACAATTTTTGCTTTTTGAATGTACTGAAGATTAATCCCTATAATGGACCTGTCTAGACGAGTAACACAGTCAATTTTTAGAGATAATAATTTACCATTTATTTCTTTGATTATATTTTGCCGAATATCTAAGGCTTAATTCTGCAACATTCGATTGAATATTTTGGGAATTAATTTTAATATTACCTAAACCTTCTAATATAGGATCCAGAATTTTTCTAAAGCCACTATCATCGATTAATGTGAATGGTCTACCATTAAAAGTTACCAGCTCAGTACAAGCATCAATTATTATTTATTTAGCTTCATTTACTTCTTCTTCTGTTGGCTTGATGGCATCTTAAGCCTTTTTATTTTATTAAGAATTTTTTGTTGTGATATTTTAATTTTATTGAATTCTATAGGGTGGTTTCTTTTTATGTGACGCTCCAAATTTGCGCCATGATTACCTTTCATATATATTTGACAATCAGCAATATTACATTTTGATGTGTCATTAATAATATTATAAGTAAAATAATTGTATATGGGGTTTAATTTTGCTCTAGGCATTTTAATTTATAAGCTTAAAAAATTTAAAAAATATTGTAAAATGGCAATATACTAAATTTCATAAAAATTATGACTGACACTTATCAATCAAATGAGCAGCATAAAATCACGAGGTTCGAACCGGTTCAGAGGCATTTTAGCGGTTCGGTTCAGGTTCAGCTAGAAATTTTTTAGTGGTTTAGGTTCGGTTCAGGTTAGATAAAAATACCGGTTTTTAGCGGTTTAACGGTTCGGTTCAGGTTCGGTTTGGATCCCTGATCATCACATTAAGTAACTTTATATTTTCAATCCCTCAATTGCTTTGATCTTCAATAAATTCATTAATCTTCGAATTATAGGACATAATGATGAAGCCAATTTTTTATGATAAATGAATTTGCTAAATCAATTTCCAATGAGTAATGCAACAAATTCGGCTAATAAATATGAAGAATTTATTTAAAAATTTTTTTACTTTGTAAATATTATTCTAAATTTGTTATTTACAAAAAGATTCACCCATATGCCTTATATAAAATTAGATTGCTTTCACATTTTTCAAAATTTTAATCTTTGAATATCCTGTAAATTCACCTACCTGGTATTTCTTAATATAATGCTAAATTTTTTAAAATAATGAGAAAAATTGCAACTCAAGTCAATTATATAAATTAATTTTTAGATATGGCAAAATATAAAATGCAAATAGATCGTCAAAAAACAAATTAGGCTAAATTTAAAAAATTAATTTATCAAAATTTTAAAGGACACCATTAAATGAAAGTGTATGGGAAATACTACTGCATGGTGAGAGATAGCTAGAAAGAGTCAAAGCGGACAACTCTGTGAAAATATAGTGATTAAATTTAAGCAAGACTTGTATATAAAGTAGTGCTCGTCCTTACTAACCGCGTCCTTTTTTGAGGAAAAGTAAATTCGTTATTTGTGTCAAAAGGTAACTTACTCTTTAAATTTTTCTCAAAGAATATGGAAAAAATATTTTATTATATATTGTATTTTTATAAATTTTATAAGTTTTTAATTCATATTAACTAGCAAAGTTCTTCATTTTTATTTCATTTTTTACAGTTGTTGAATTTTATAGTCAAGATTGTTAATCTACTTAATATTAAATCCCTCAAGGTATGTAATTTATATTTTAATAATACTTATTTCTTCAGATGATTTAACTCTGCCTTGATCCCAATGTGAAACATTTTAACATAATAAAGAAAATTAAAGGTATTAAGTCTACACTTAGTAAGTGTAGATAGTGCCCTAATTTAAATGTTTCAACCTTGTCCAGCAGTTCAAATCTATAAAAATAAACATATGAAGGTAGAGATATGATTTCAGATTAAATTCTCACAAAGAAATAAAAAAAATTTGATGAATATCTGAAAGAAAAAAAAATGTGAAAATTATCAATAAGTTTTTTTGAATCATTTTATTAAATACAGTGTTGTGCAGATTTAATTTAAAACATTTCCATAATTTTTTAATTCATTTGTAAATAAAATTATTTGTTGTAAAAAAATTTTAAATAACATATTTATATATTCTTTTACAAATTAAATAATTTTATTTTCAAATAAATTAACAAATATGGCAAAGTTTAAATTAAATCTGCACAACACTGTATTTTTAAATAAATTCCCCCAATTAAATTTTTTACAGCCCTCATCCTCTGTGTCATTTGACCGTGTGTATAGCTATAACTGTTGAGCAAGGGCTTCTGTTTATTTGAACAAAATTTTGAAAATCACTTATTAAAAAAAAATTATTGCAAAAAGAACAAAATTTTATAAAATTATTTTTGTATAATTTTATTTTAATTATCTAAAGGGGGAAAAAATTTTGAAAAATTATATATATAATATTTAGTATTTTTTAAAGTAATGAGTAACGTTACTTTTTTGAAAGCATATTCATTTTTTTTAAAGTAATGAGTGTGTTTCATTTTTTGAAGTAATGTTTACAGCCAAATGAAAATATCAGTTCTTTTTTTTGTATAAATTTTATCTATATAAATAAATAATATTTGATAAAATACAATAACACCAAATATATATATAAAATAACAATGGATATACTTAAAGGTCATACAAATAAATGTGTATTAAAAAAAATTAAATAACACTTAAGGTCATATAAACTTAAATTTATTAATATGGCCTTTAATAAGTAAATTTAACATAAAACAATATAAAATTTAAGCCATAAAGCTTTTGTTAAATCAAGGACTTGTAGATATAGGAAAAAAATGGCCCATTTATAACAAAAAATGTTTCACAACAAAAATGATAATTTAACTTTATAAAATTACACTAAAAAATTTATTGTTTTTTTATTAGCCATATATTTTTAATATGAGATAATATGAAAATTATGCCCTGCAAGTCCACCTTCCTTAAGATATTTTATCTACTTACCTCTGATTTTGGGAAAAAAAATTACTTACCCATCTAATCATTTGTTACCACCCACTTGTCCAGTGTTAAAAAGAATTTATTTAGTTGGTTCTTTATTAATTTTAATGTATTTAACTTATAGCTATCAATCATAATTATAAAAAAATTGACTTAATTCTAGATAGTTTAGGTCGATAATAATTATTTTTTAAATCAGTGAGCCATATCCCTAATAAATAAAAAAAAGCATAAAACAAAATATTTGTATTGATAAAATTATCTATATCACAATTTCGATTTAAGAGTGATATAGTTAAGTTCAAATTTGTCAAATATAATATAATTCATATCTGTATCTTGAAATTGCAAAAAACTGGGTAAAAAAAAATCAGGGTATGGTAGGCAAATCAAACAAAAAATTTTATAAGTCAGTCATGAAATTCACAAAAAAATTAAACTTTAAAATTATAAAAAATGTATTCTTTCTTAAAATTATTTTACAGTCTAAACAGGGAAAGGCAAAATAAAATTAGAAGTCAGGCCAAAAAATCTTTTCAAAAATTTTCAGGAACCAGTTAGGGCCAAGCTGACTTCTAATAAGATTCTTAAAATAATTAGCTAAATTTTCAAAGTATTTTTATCAAGGACTTAAATTATTCTGAACTAGTTCATGGAACTAAGTACCATATTTAGAGATAAAATGGAACCTAGATATTATTTTAAAAATTGTTCAGAATAGGTTCCTAAGGTTATAAAATTTTATAGGTTATCATAGAACATAAAGGGTTATAGAAATATTGTGAATATAAAAGTTTTGGAATCATTTTTAATAACTGTTGCAAGCCAGGTTCCAATAGTCCAACAAGATCATTTTAAAGGAATGAATGAATCATAACAAAAAAATCACTCCAAGTTCTTGTTATATATTATATACAAACTAAAATGATAGAAATATTGCTAAATGTAGATATATAATTTAGTTGTTGAATTAAATTTTTCATTATAAATATATTTATGCATAAACATTACAAAGTATAAACATACTTCTATAAAATTTTCCATAGAATTTGTGGTTCTTTTAAAAACAGCCTCACGTATATTAAGTAAAACTGCTTCATCTTTATTATTCTTTAAATACTTTTCCATTTTTGACATAATTATTTAAAATTTTAATGCTAAAATAAATTTTTACTGGAGTTTTTAACGTGAGTGATTGAGGTATAGCCTGTCAGTGTCAGATACCAAATATAATTATATTGAATGCCATTTACATGACTTTTTTTTAAGTATAAAAAAATTAAGATCTAGAAATAAATATTGACAGGGACAAGGGGATAGTAGCGTTACTGGGAAGGTCTAGGAGGGTCTGTGGCTCGAGCTCCCTGAAAAATTTGAAAAGCTTCCATAACATTTTGAAAATTATTTTTATACCTAAAAAAAGGCGATTTTAAAAATAGTTTAAAAGTTTTTGAGCCCTTGAGATTGTAAAGGCTAGTTACGAGGAAACCCTTTCGAGGTGGGAGGAATTATATATTTTTATAAGGTGCAAAACTCTTCAAAAAACTATAATTACCCCCTAAATAATTTCTAAATATAATGGTACTTCCTTTATATATATTCTATAAAAAATAACTTAAATTTTCCATACTCTATAACTAACTATCAAAAAATCTATTTAGATCATGAATTATATTTAAACTCACTCATTTACAATTAATCCATTATTATTACATTGTTTGGGGATGAATCAATGATATATATATATATAATTGGGATGAATATAATTTAGTTAATAAAATGTCTAACACTTTTATATTATATTTTAAAAATAGCAGAATAATATTTAGAAAAAGTTTTATTTGAAAAATAATAAATATGTATATAATAGTGGTTGATATTTATTAATATATTTATATTATTATGAGTCTAAATTATCATAGCAATACATTGCATAAATCATTCGAAAATGTAATAGATAACACTAAAATATTTTTTATACCAAATATAATTTTGATAATGTTAGCTAAAAAAAAAGAAGATAATTATAAATATGTTAGCGAAAAAAAAAGTTTTGGATAATTTAACTAAGAAAAAAAAGGTAATTTTGAAAGTGTTAGCTAATAAGAGGGCGATTTTGAAATTAATTTTAAAAAATTTTTAAGCCCCCTGAGATTGTAAAGGCTAGTGACCGCTTTGATCTATCAACGAAAATTAAATTTATTTCTTTTAAAGGTAATATCCTTTATTTAATTTTCTATTTCAATAAAATCATCCAAAAAATTTTATTAATTTAAAATATAGTTAAAAATCCTAATAATAATGTGAATAAAAATACTATAGACACATTTAATTGTTATGTTTCAATAATTCTTTAAATATGTTTTTCATCTTATACTTTATTACATTTTAGATCACATCTGTTTTAGTTATGCCAATATCTGGTGGTATCCAATGATATATAATTGGTGGTATCCCAGTGGTAATGTATAAATAAATTGCAAAATACTAATTATACATTATGACATGGTTATAATGTTATATATATTTATGAATAATATAATATTGGGTAATGTTAAATGTCAAACACTCATAACATGAATTATAATTTCTTCAATTTATCATATAATTAAGAGCCTTGTGAATGCATATCTATATTATAATTTTCCGATGTCCTCACTACGTCATCGTTGCGTCATGTCGTCACTATGTCATGTCATCGGTACGTATTTATTTTTTTTTATTTTTTTTGTTAATTTATTTTTTTTATTTTTTCAATATCTATACAAACAGATGAGCCTATAACTTCAGTTAACTATGCAACTGTAGGATGCCAAAGTAAAACTTTAAATATTCTTTTAATTAATTTACAAAATTTTACAACCTATGCAAATATTGGATATCAAAGTAATACATTAAATATATCTTACTTACAAAATATTACAAATTATTCATATTATCATAAATATTTTATAAAGCTACCATTAAAAAAATTACATTTACTCAATAAAATACCAACAGTTAAAACAATTATTACTCAAGAAGCTGCTATTAGTGAAAATAATTATAAATGTAAAATATGATATTGTTAAACAGTGACACTCATGTATTTTATCTTAACTTATAAAAATTGTTATGTTAAACAGTGACACTCATGTATTTTATCTTAACTTTAATAAATTGTTTTTTTTTACATCCTTAAGCGATTTATGGCGTAACTTAATATATTTCAAATGTAATAAGAATTGTTTCTTTCTTTTTGTTAAAAACAACTTTTATATTTTAAAAATCAATTTGTTTATAAACTAATATTAAATTTTATATTTTATAAATCAATTTACTTAATAAACTAATGTTCAATTTTTTATTTTAACTTTAAAAAAATAAGATCAATTTATTATAAACTACATTAAATTAAATTGTCAATATATATAGGAAACTATTTTGAATTATGTGATCATTATATTTTTTAAATTTAAATATCAATAAATTGACGTAATATACGTTTATAACATTTAATTTCTGCCTTTGATTTCTGCAACCTTTTCATGGTGGCAGCATCCTAAATTAAAATTTTCTAAAATATTAAATATAAATTAACTTCTTAAAATTTTTATAAAATCCAATACTATAAAATAGAAAAATTCAAGGATATTGTAAATTATAAATTATGAAACAGACCTCAAATAATAACGTTAATATTAATATTGAATTTCCAACATACACAGGTAATGGCGATGTTTTTCTAAGTCGTTTCGAAGACATATTCAACGATGCTCAGATCTCTGATATCGAAAAAGCAGGATCCTTCACAAGAAGACTACCAGACGAAGAATACATCAAGCTCAAATCGATATGTTCACCTACCGATTTCATCAATCCATCGATATTGATTGAAAAATTTAGGTTATTACACCCGAGGAAATCTACAAGTTTGAAATTGTTATTATTCAATGCAGCTGTACAAGGTAAAAATGAAAGTTACATCAATTGGGTAAGTAGATTATGTATTTTACAAAATGAATGTTCGTTAAGCGATAGTAGAATCATTGAAAAAGTAAAAATTTTATCAAATAGCAGAAATATCAGGCAGAAAATTACGTTGAAAGAGAATATTACGTTAGCAGAAGTCTTTAGTTTAAGAGATGATTTTGAGGAGACAGAATTAAAAGAAAATATAATAGCTAAAGTTGAAAACATTTCTTTAAGTGAAAAGACTGAAGAAGAAACAAGCGTAAAACATTTAGAAAGACAAAGAGGCATAAAAGTTGAAGAAAACAAACAGGTGGTCAGATACGACGATAGACATAATCCACGATCGAATAACGATAACAGACAACGCTGGACAGCAAGAGGCCATGACTTTCAAAGTTTATCAAGGAAATAGTTATAACCCCAGTTACCAAGGAAATAATTACAACCCTAGATATCAGAATTATAACGCGAATTATTACAACGTCAGAGCAAACTATCCAGGATCATACAATTCTTCGAGATTTGATAATAGAGCTAGTTATAATAAAAATGACTATAATAATAATAGATTTAATAATGATTATAATTACAGATATAACAGACATTATAACGATTCAAGATGTATTCAAAGATATAACGATAATCATAATATTGGAAATCGAGGAACTAATCAAGTATGCAATTGTAAATATCATAACAACGACAATAATCAATCACGATATACAAATAAAAAACACTGTAAATATAGAAGAGATAAAAGAAGATGATAATGACAAACTAGAAAGAAAAGAATATAATTTATACAATTTAGACATAAACAATATGGATACCGATAATAATTGCACAGCTAACGATGCTTATAAGGTCACGGTATATTTGAACGACATGCTTTTTTTGATGCAGATCGATACCGGGTCAAGGTATAGTATTCTACCGATTCATATCGCGAAAAAGATTGGAGTAAAAATCTTAAATAAATCAGATATTAAATTAACTGGTTATGATGGAAACACAATAAATGTTTTAGGAACTACCAAAGTCAAGGCAAAATTCGAAGACAAAAGTCAAATCTTAACTGCTTATGTAGTCCAGAGTGATAAAATTGCACTGTTAGGAAGGACCTGGATAGCAGTCTTTAGAAATATATTAGATAGATTTGCAAACTTAGTCGAAGAAGATTATGACAATACTATTCAAGAACTGATCAAACAATGCGAGTCAAAACTTAGCAAGAAACCAATACTACGCAATTATGTCAAACCAATGACATATAATAATACCTAGACTGACGATTCATTCATTAAAAGTGTACATCAATACAAATCAGCTGGGGACGCCATTTTTGTAACCTATAAAGTAATTGTTCTCATGTAAAAAGCTGCTATATATTTTCTAATTTTTTGGAATTAAAAAAACAAATATATATTATCCTAATTTTATGATTAAGATTGATGTTATTTGTAAATATGTTATTTTAAAAAGATTTTTCAATATTTGAAGATATTTGCCACTCATATTTTCCAAGTATATTAATAATTTATGATTGATATTTGATAATGGTTTGTTTTTCATTTATGTAACAAGACTTAAATTCTTAAAGATGTAGATTTGGAGAAACCTGCTAGTCATGTAAGCCCTATTTATTAAAATTCTTGTGAGATTTATTATTTGTCTATATTTTTATATTTATTACAATATTTATATTATAAAGCATATTTTTATAAGAATGTTTCAAAAACAATTGACACTATTAATATTCTTGAAGATGTAGATTTGGAGAAACCTGCTAGTCATGTAAGCCCTATTTATTAAAATTCTTGTGAGATTTATTATTTGTCTATATTTTAATATTTATTACAATATTTATATAAAACATATTTTTATAAGAATGTTTCAAAAACAATTGACACTATTAATATTCTTGAAGATGTAGATTTGGAGAAACCTGCTAGTCTTGTAAGCCCTATTTATTAAAATTCTTGTGAGATTTATTATTTGTCTATATTTTAATATTTATTACAATATTTATATTATAAAACATATTTTTATAAGAATGTTTCAAAAACAATTGACACTATTAAAATAAGGCCAGGTTTATATTTTATAAATTAATAATTTGATTTTAATTTTTCTCGATGCTTCTTTTGATAGAATTAAAAGATTTCAATCTCATTCGAAAGTAAAATTATTCACCACATTAGCCTTGATGAAATGTC